AATTTTGTTCAACTTTATTGAATGAAAGTGATTTTTTTTTTGGATTAACAAGACTATGCTGAAATTAACAAACCTGTACGCGTTAAGTGTTCAGGACATGCTGAAGAATATTTTTTGGTAGAGGCAGTGCATTGATTCAAATAAGTTGGAAGCGCTTGATATCCCTCAAAACATTGTTGCGTAGACATTGACTCCACTTTAGCATTGCTTATGGGTGGCAAAGAGAAGGTTTTCAAGTGACTGCTTGAATTTGATTGACGTGCTTGTGAACTAAAAATCATGTAGTTGAGAGCGATATGATATGAAAATTGATAGTTCAACTGTAAGGTATTATATAATATTGAATATCAAATATTTTCGGGCATAAAGTGTTCACCGCAAGCTGTTTATGACAGCAGAATAAGAAACGACTTGAAGGTCCCGTGTAATTTTCATCCTCAGAAGTGAATGAAACGTTCATTTACATACTCAAAAATCTGTTGAGTGCTGGGAAGCTCCTCATTTTTAACATCCTCTGTAACGCTGTTTGCCGGTGTTTTACCAAGTCGTGGCAGTACAGAGAAATGAGTCGACGACATCGTGCGCATAATATCACGTTTAACCGCATCAATATGGGATGATGAACGAACGATCTCTTTTCTCCGATCATCGCGAAGCTCATATCTGAACTTCCACACTTGAGTTTGCTTCGAACAAAAGAAATGGCAGGCATCATCAACTTATGGTCGGTTTTTCAACGTCATCAGTAGACAATGAGGACTAACACCGAATCAGCGAAAATGTCACATGTAAAGTGATTTTAGCTCATGCTTCAAAAAACTAGTCAGCAATTTGAAAGGGGAAATGAATACGGTTGAAGAGAAATACTAAGAGAAAACGTGACGCAGTAATATTAGTTATAATCGGCCCTTTTAACAATCGGCTTCACGGACACACCTCAAACTGCGAATGTCCTGTTTGATCTCGAGAAGATCATCTTCCGTCACCCCGTCGGTTTTAATATCTTTCTTTGTTTGATGTATA